TTGCAAATCTGTTTATTTTTGTTATATTTTATATATGGTATATATCGTTTACATATTATATTTATCCATTTGTAAACAACAAAAGAAAAAGAACATTTTAAATCTTATCTAATATCATATTTTCAATCTGTTTGATTTTTCTTTTGATACTTCTTTGAATATTTAACGTTATATTTAGTAATATTTAAGTCACTTTTTTAAAAAGTTAAATCATTTTGCATATAGCAGGTCAACAGCGTAACGCTTAAAAATAAATGAATTAAGTTTATAAAAGGGGAGAAACGTTTCTCATAAATATTTAAAACCAGCAACCCCTACAGAAAAACGACCAATCAGGGAGGTGTTATAGCATGAATATTAAATTAGTTGACAAAACTATTAGCAAATGTATGTTTTCATCAGGCTCACACATTCTATCAATAGGTGGAAGTTATAGTTAAGTACATAAAAATTCATCATTTATGCATACGACGTTTCTGGGTTAATGCCGATTGATGAATATCGATTAATCACTATGCTTCTTTATCAAATAAATGTCTCGATGTCTATAAAAGATCAATAAATTATATATATATATATATATATACACACACACACATATATACATATATAATATGTATAGAGTATTCTAGTTTTGCATGTCGAAACTGAAGGGGTGAATTCAGCACGCAAAACAAGAAACTTCTCTATTTGGCATTTTGGTCAAATCTCAAAAATAGCGCTTCCCCGAATCAACATTTACTAAAAAGATTACGTTTCGGAACATTATAAAACGTAATTTTTATAATTTAAGTATATAATAATTTTTATGCCTTTAATACCTGAATTTCATAAAAATAGCAATATCCCACTTTATTAAATATTGATTTGAGGAAGTGCTATTTTGAGATTTGATCAAAGTGTCAAATAGAAAAGTTTCTTGTTTTGGCGTATTGAATTCACCCCTTCAATTCGGGTATATAGATCTGGGATACCCAGTATATATACATAATAGTAGCTGACCAACAGAAGATATAATAAGCAAATATAAAGATGCCTATCTTATCAAAATATATAACTCAAATTACAGTTATAGATTTTTTATCAGAATATAATATAATTTTTATTCTGTTGAAAGATGAGTGTAAAAAGCAAAGATAGAAATATTTCAATTCTTTCTCTCGATGATAAAATATAAAAAAATTTAATATATTGTTATTCTCTTTTCTTTCTTTTAATTTACATATTTCTTTTTTCTAACGTGTTTTTTCTTCCTAACATAAACGTCCTAGAATTCCTATCAGTTTGTCGCGCCGCTGAGTTCGTTAAACAAAGATAGTCCGAAAGAAATTTATTGCCAATGTAAATAACGAGGACGAGCTTTCACAAAGAGGTTGTTTCCGACTGATCTTCATGGGCGCGGTGAAACACTGGCGATTCGTAGAGATTACCTATTCACTCTTTGCTTCTTTCAGACTTATCAAACCGCCTCGTTACTGAACTCCTGCAGCATTACTGAACTTTTATCTTATCGTGAATCGACAATCGCTCTCTGAAAACCGTGATCGGATTTAAAATCTGATAAAAAGTCTTGTCGTGCAAAACTGTAACGTACAAAAATCTATTTGCATAAAATCCTTTTGAATGCTTTGGTGGAAAAAATTCTGCAGTTTAATTAATTATAAAGTAACATTGCTTGGAGAATATATTAAATTATATATATATAGCACATCTCTCCTCACAAGTTAACATTATTATAAGATATTCCTTAATTTAGAATGTAATTCTAACGTATATTTATATTAATTAATATGATTAATATCCATATTAATTAAAAAATTATGTAACAGTGATAATTTAAAAATACTCTGCACTCACCATATTATTTATTCTATTGTTGTTAAATAACTTAATATCAATATTCAGATATCTATCGCAGTTTTCAGATTAGTTCCAGAATTCACGAATAAAGGGTTCAATAAGTAAATAAAAGTTAATAAATAGTAGACCATCCTGTATATTATTTTAATATATCTTAAAGAGAGAGAGAGAGAGAGAGAGCAAATCTGCAACAAATCAGAAAATCAATAGTTGCTTAACTCTTGTTTATCTTCAATTTACGAGACGCGCAATGGCGACAATCTCGCGATGCCACGATCGAAAGTTTCACCGACTGAGAGAAGCGCAGTCGGCGTATCCAAGCGTAATCCAATTCCTTCTACCATCATTTTCCATCTCCTCGTTTTCCAGCTAGTCAACCGCAACTCTTCGGACTTGCCTCCAGAAATTCCGTCAATTTCGACGAGTTCTTTTGCTCGTTAGAAACAAGAAAGCGCAGCTAATCCTGCGAGGATTGCGTCTACGGATATCTACTCCCAGAAGCCAGACATAATTAAACAAGTTAAAAGTTCGATTTCTACGCGGCCCAGAGTTCCATGAGAAAGCAATATCGTCCTGTCACTGCACGTTTCATTCACCAACTGAATGAAATAGAATGGACAAAACTAATAGCTACAAAGTCTGTTTGCCATGACTTTAATTAGCGCCGCAAATGATTCTCCATTTATTCTTTATTACGCGACTATCGTCTCAACAGAAATTATAGAATAAAAAAATAATGTAAATTGCAGAAGCATAAAAATATTGACTGTATTAAATATATCGGATAAAATGCAATCTTGATAAAAAATATATTCCATTGCATTTAAATTAATGCATTAATATTGCATAATTATTGCATTGCATTAATAAATTAAAAAGTATTTAAAAATAATTCTTTAATTAGATAAAGATATTTGATATTCTTATAACAATCGTAATGCATTTGGCCTCTGGCAGAATATTATTTGAAAGTTTAATGTATGTGTTTTTTGTAACATAAAAGCTTTTAATGCGTAAAGATAATATTTTGTTAAGAACTATCTGTAAAACCATTCTTTTATTGTACGTTTCACTCATCCTTGTTAATGAAATTAAATAGACTGATGTTGATTATTGTGTCACGGGAAGATTCGTGCGATTACAAATTTGTAAGCTGTAAACGCATAAAATATAAGAATTGACTTTATTTTATTAATAAAAATATATTAAATGTTAAATATGAATTTGACTTACAAACAAAGAATCAATAATAAAATGCAATTTGAGTGATTAATTTTTTTCAAGAAACATATTTTTTATTAGATAAATATTTATTTGATCTAAAACTATAAATAACTCTTTTTTTTATATTATATATTTTTATATATATCTAATATATATTGCATATAAAGTATCATATATTATGTCTTGCTATCAAGTAGAAATTAAAAAGTTGAAAAGAAACTAAAATCTTGAGAAAAATATATATAGAGAAAGTTTGTTTTATTTGTTTTAAATGTAACTTTCTATAAATACACAGGTACACGCGCAAAGATATACATACATATAATGATACATAATGATAAAGATTATAAAATTGCTATAGATAATAATCCCGCTTTCCTCTCTATGTTTTTGTCGAGAAGAAATTATCTCCAAATTAGCTAAATAATTTGTAAGTAAAAAAAATAGAGAGTGAAAGGACATCCTACACACACACAATACGTTCATTATCGCTCTTTCATTGTGTACAGTAAAGAATTGTACAAATGACAAAACGAGTTTGTATTGGCAGTTTAATGATGCTTATATTTATTCTGAAATTCATCATATCTCAACAAGCTTTGCATTTCTTTCCAAGCAGCCCCATCTCTTAACCTTTGACCCTTTTTTAAAAAATGGAACATTCCGCTATTGTTCTGATGAGATGTCTTACGACTTTTATTTCACGCGATCAGCATAGAAGAATTACATTGAGATTATAAAAATAATAAATAAGTTTGCATTCAAATTGACATATTAAAATTGTATAAATCGTCTTATTAATCTTTAAAATGCAAAACGATGTTTTGCCTCGGAACAATAGAAGTACAAATAAACTCTTAACAAATCCAAGCGGTATAAAATTTTATAACTGCATCGTCAAATAGACAGACTGCATTTATTAGAAAGTTTATAGTCCATTGTATTGAGCAATTCGTATATTTGAAACATTTTCCTTCCCCAAATATCTCTCACAATTCATAGTTTTAAAAAAATATGAAATATATATGTATGTATACGTATATGTATATTTCTCAAAAAATTCATGAAATAAATATATTTTTTTTTTAAATATATATATTTTTTTAAATAAATATTGGATAGATCTCATTCATAGAAATCTTTAATATTTCCAAGATGATTCAATTATTATTTAGTTTTATTCTTTAAAACGTCGATGAAAATTACGTCAATATAATGCAGAAAAATCAAAAGATGAAAACCGCAGAAGCAATAACTGTGAAACGAATAAACCGCAAATAAATCAGAATGAATTCAGGTCGCGCATTAAAGTTACGTTGAGTAAGAAAAAAATATTTTAGAGGCTAAATTAAATTAGATATGTATATTCAAATTATATGTATCATACACTTGTTCATTATCTAACTATTATGATCTAAATCCAATTTAATCTTATCTCTTTCTATCGAAGATTTGATCTGCGTCATTTTGAGAGATTTTGTATATTTGATAAAAAATTATCTAGGTACATGTTAATTAACATTTATTCAACTCATTCATCTATCATCCATTGTATTTTCTTATAATATTTTATTTTATTACTACTATATAATAAAATGCATAAATATATTTTATAACTTAATTATATATATAATATATTTATATATAAAAAAATATAATATATTGCATATAGGTTTTAGTATATAGATTTTAGTATATAGGTTTTAGTATATAGGTATTGCATGTAGCATATTAGTAATAAATAGCATATATATTCAAAAATTAATATGTTAAAAAATTGAGATTTACGTGAAACTCTCTCGATTCTTATTATTATGTAAATCTCAAATTACCATTGCCTGTAGCCGACGAAAAGGAAGCGGACACGAGGGATGAAGGAAGTTTTTAAGCAAATGCATGCAAGTGAGAAAATTTACCTCGGTATCTGGAAGGCGATTTCGTCAAGCGAGTCGCTAGGTTGCAGGGGGGCTCGTTCGAAAAGCCTGCTTGGGCCCCGATGGACCCGGTTGCAGGATTGCATGGATCCAGCTGTCGGTTGGGACTGGTCCGTGTGATTGGTCCCAAGTTGACCTCCCTGGCTGCCTCTGCCTTGTTTCTGCCGCTTCTTGCGTACTTCCTCCGCCTGACGGCGTAGGTTGTGAAGCCGGAAGAAGTACATCGACATGTCTGCGCTCAGCACGCGAGTATTCGCGATCATCACGACTGGTCGTTTATTTGATTTCACAAAGTATTTCAAACGAGAAACAAGAGTAACGCCACGATTGTTGTAGAATAATAATTAATCGTTTTATGTCAAACGAATAATAATCAACCCTTTTTGATCTCATGTTAGATTATAATTGAGAAAAGTCAATTGATATTAAAATCTTTGCTTCTTATTTTAAGCATCTAGAGAACAGAAATTCATACGAACAGTTTCTGCAATTTACATTTACATACAAAAATTTTATTAAAAATTATTTGTATTATTCATTAATAAAACAGGATTCATTTTATATTATATCAGAAATTTTTCAATTAAATCAAGATATTACAAAAGGTAAAATGATGATATTACATAAAATAAAATCAAAATATTAAATAAGATATAGTATAATGTAGCAATCTCTCCAACACAATGATTTAAAACTTAGAAAAGCGTAGATTATATACTTTTATATTATGTCCGCTTCCTGGATTGATAACGGAACATCTGACGCATTTCATAATCTTACTTTATTAAAATAAAGTGCTTGCGTTAATGAAAAGTCATTCTCATAAACGTAAATTTCAAGATTCGTCTGCTTAAATTTCCTCGCTTGTATCATAATATCACAATCACAATGTCAACATGGTCGCTGAAGGTTGGTATTATTCTTAATCCTTCAGCTCTACAGTTCCGTGTCATCCACAGTTCTGCGAAGTTTACATGAATGCCTGAGAAGTTGCTAATGTCTAAACTTCAAATGTAAGTTTAATAAATTTGCAAGTGAAAATGAAAAAATTAAAGAAACTTATATTTTTGAAAAAAAAACACAATAAAATCTATAAAAACTTTTTTTTACATTTAATAAAAGTGTTGTGCGTGACTCTTATTTTTTGTTTAAAATACTTGATAAAATTAAGAATTTGACATTAATAAAAGTTATAAATATTATAAAAATATATTTATAGACAGTCTATAAATATATTTATAAACATAGGCACACACACATATATATTGCATGAGCAATAATGATCAGTTGCAACAGTATTCTATCGTTTTCAAGCATAGATATATAAGACAATGCTATCAAGATAATTATTTATATACATATATCACATAAACAAATAATTTAATTTAGAATTAATTTCACGTGCGTGCACATTATTAATTAAATAATTCTTTATAACTCTCTTATAAATTTTATAATTTATACTTTAATAAATAAATTTTTAGCTATACATCTTTACAGATCCTTATAAAAATCTATATTTAATGAATAAATAAAACATCTTAACTTTCAAGAGGATTCTGTTTTCTTAAACATATTTCTGATAGCGTATTATGTGTTCCCACAATATTATTATTATTATTATATAGCGCGTTAATATTACACATTAAATATCATTTTTGCGACACAAGTATTATGTAAGCGGAAAATCAAGAAAGATAAATAATAAAAAAGTTACACAAACATAAACATGCAAAAATTGCCAATTAATTATTAATTGATTATTTATAGACGAATCTTAGATTTCAATTATGTAAAAATGGAGTCAACACAAGCTTTTATCTGCAATATTTCCACATTGGATCTTGTAGCTTTCATACTTGAATCTAAACCATTTAATGTTCATGCGTTTTAGATATATAATAATACATAAATATTTATCACATTCGGAGCATTTAGTACTGTGCGACATCATGCAAAGAATTTCCATGCGCATTTAATGTTACAATTATGGCTCATCAAAAAATTCTACCCTCAAAATATATTTTTCTTTAATATTTTCCACTATAAAATAATAATAAAAAGTTCGGTATTTATATATAAATTTGTAATCTTGTGTATGTGTAATAGGTATGTATAACAGGTAATTATTGTAATCATATGTATACATATATTACATGTTAAAATTATTTAAGCAATATGTATATATTTTTTTAAACTATACGTAAATATCCATGTAATCAATATACAATGCCAATCACTAAAATAAAACTTTTTAATTATTAAACAGTTGATGTCTGGATGTTGTAGAGAAAAGTAACTAAGATATTTATATAGAGAGAGAACTATGCCATAAAATAGAAAATTAAATAAAATATCTATTACACATAAACTGAAAAAAGTGATAGCAAAATCTAAAATTCAAACAGCAAAATATCTTATATCGCAGTTTTAAATCCGCTGAAGTAGCGTTTTATTTCATATTAAGTACATTCATAATAACTAAAAATATTTTTAAAAAATTTATTTATGCGTATAACGTAAAAATTTTTTAATAAAGATATATAATAAGCAAGAGAGAGAGAGAGAGAGAGAGGGGGGGGGGGGGGGGGAAAAAGAAAAAAAAAAAATTTCACTCTGACCGCTGAAAATAATCTAAAATAAGTCGCCGGTATATCGATCGGCGGTAGCCAGAAGGAAGGAGAAGTCAGCCACGCGGTAGCGTGTGTTTTGCAGCGCACGCTAACCACGCGCTATAAGCGTTGGATGTGCACGTTGATGTTCACCACTAACCAAGCCACCCACCCTCTCGACGATACCCACAACCCCCGGTCCGCTCTCTCACCCTTCTGCACCTTTCTCCTTGTCCCTTCACACCCTCTCGACAAACCTTATAGCTTTCCTCTTTCTCTCTCTTTCTCTCTTTCTTCCGTACCGTCTCGCTTTTGTATTTCGTTTATCAGGCTTAACATGCGATTTTACCTACCTCTTTTGCCTGGCGGGCGTTTGTATGTACGTGTACATCGCGAATAAGGATTACGACGGAAATAAATAGCTAGTAATCATACGAAATAAGGCTCGTGTCACAATGACGATTGCACTTTAATTAGCAGCTTAATAATACGATTCATGGGGGGGGGAGAGAAGAAGTCAAATAAAAATCTTGATTTGAACAGCAATTTTTAGGATAAATAAATTTCAAAATAAATCAAGTCAACTTAGTTTTTTCTTGTTATAGAAAATATAATACATACAAGTAATAATAAGCCTCTTGAAAGATCTTAGTAGAAGTTCAATTTTAAGCTTATTTTGGCAAAGCTAAAAATAGTTTAACTAACGAGATCTCTCAAAAGAAGCTTAATTACCTATTCTCAGGTTCCGTTGTTAGCATATTAGTTTGGAGATTGCAGAACTGCTTGTTCCAATCACGATGAGTAAATTCGATTACATTTCATTACATTTTCATGTAAAAAGTTTTGTGTGGAACATTGTTAAGATCGCAAGTTCTATTAAGAAACATTATTGTTAACATTAGAGACTCTCGATCCTTCTGTTTTTTTTTAACATCTAATGCATACGTATTAGTCATAGAGAGAATCATATACTCATATATTATATATATA